TTTTAATTATCTTTAATCTATGTTTTTACATTTTGCTATGGTTACCAAAACATAACATTCCTCGTACTTACTACGGTTACCTCAAACCAATTGAGATTCTAGCCAACGAAACTTCTAATTACATATGTAAATTGTTTTAAAGTAGCTTTGTAAGGTGTTTAATCCATTAGCAAGGACTAGTATCACAGGAATCAAAGTAGCTTTAAATGAGATGTAATATTTATTTTATAACAAAGCTAATGTCAACCAGTACATTCCTTACTTGGTATGGTTGCAGACGAAAGGAATGTTTAACTGTTGTGAAAATGTGAATGATGCCATACGAATTCCAGTACTATTATCAGCTGCTTGTTAATCATGTGTCATGTTATTCCACTAAATGTACTTAGTACAATCCATGCTGTGATAGAGATGCATTCTGTTGTACCAGTGATTCCAGCTCTTCAATGAAGTGGGGCACTCAACAGTTTTATTTAGTGAAGTGTTACTGAAAAAAGAAAATATGATGAATTAAAATTATAAAAAGTTACTATTGTAACTAGTTACCAATTTGATTTATTCTCTTTACCTCCATGAGCCCATATTATGTGGAGAGAAAGCCACCATCTACTGGGAGTGTGACTGCATTGACCATTCCAGCATTGTCACTGAGGAGGAACAGAATTGTGTCCACAACCTCTTTCACCTCTGTAAAAGAAGTACATCCGCAGAGTGAAGAATCTCCCTCATCTTTCAAGGGCCTCCTTTCCAAATTTTTATCGAGGCCACAAACTACAACATTTCTTTTTCAACATTGTTTGTTGCACCCCCCAAAAGTAGAGTGAAAATTAAAGATGATTCTGGTTGCAGGTACTCAATTCTGACATACCTGCGAATTTGTTCAAGGGGATCTTGGCGAGCATTGGCCCTCCCCGGGCGGGGTCGAGCCACAGCTTGCCCATGTCGGTGAGCACCACAGTGGGGTTGACGCAGTTGACGCGGATGCCGTGCTTTCCCAGTTCGAGCGCCATCACGCGTGAGGCGTTGTCCACCCCGGCCTTGGACGCGCCGTACGCCGTGTGCCCCTGCAGCGCGGCCTGGGGGACGAGAGGGGGAGGTCAGGATCAGGACCTTCTTGGCGGCGCGCGCGCGCGCGCTGGGGAAGTCGAGTCTCACAGTCAAGTAGTCACCATGGAGGCCTGCGACGACACGTTGACGATGCTGCCGCCTTTGCCGCGCTGCACCATGCCCCTGGCGATGATCTGGCTCACGTGCAGGACGGCCGTCAGGTTGACGTTGAGGGACCTGGATAGGCGAAGCAGAGCACGTTGACGAGAGTACCTGACGTGTCAAAGCTCCTGCTGTACACGGGCGGGCACTCACTTCTCCAGGCCATCCTTGGTCATGTCGAGGAAGTTCTCGATGATGGCCACGGCCGCGTTGTTGACGAGGCCGTCGACGGCGCCGATGTTTCCGAGGGCGGCCTCGGTGGCGTCCCAGTCTCCCAGGTCGACGGTGAGGGTCTGGAGCTTGGGCGAGCTCAGCTCGGCGCTCAGCGAGTCCAGGTAAGAGCGCGTCCGGGAGACGGCCACCACCTCGGCGCCGGAGGCCACCAGGGCGGTGGCCAGGGCGCGGCCGATGCCTGCAGAGGGAAGACCGCGGACATGAGTAACGACGGTGGTGTGTGACTGTCGGGAGTGAAACTGATTCCTCGGCTGCAGCTCCGAGCGTTTAGAACGAAGGCCGCGTTCCCTGAGTTCATGACTGACACTCATAACATGTTGAATCTTAGATTTCTTAAACCTGCTGCAGCTTGGACTGGACCAGCATTTTAACTCCACGCAGGCGCCTCGGCTTACCCTGGCCGGCACCGGTGACGACGATGCGCTTGCCCGAGAAGTCAAATGACATGGCCATGGTGATGTGTGGGCGTGTTGTGAGTCCTCCCCGCGAAGCTGTTTGACGCCGAGTGCGGGCGCTGCTATGTGTTGGGCGACTGGGTGACTCGCGCCCCGCCCCGCCCCGCCCCACCCCGCC